ATAACGAGTGACCGAACCGTATACAATAATTCATCGCTTTCTTTTTCTTTTGTACTCGTCGGTATGATAATCACTGGATAGAAATTATTAAGAAGTAATAAACTTATCATTTGCTTTGCTTATACTTAAATATACTTTGGTTATACTTAAATATACTTAAAACTAAGAAAGTGTTGCAATTTGGGACAAAACGTTCTCGACGTGGCACGTCATTCCAGCGCAAGAGGTTAAACTTTAAATTCCCTTTGATCTATCGAAGAGAAGCGTTGGTGCTTCGCAAACATCCTACAGAGGCCTATGGTCGTGGTTATTAACAGTCCACGTCCCGTTTTAATTAAAACGGTCGAATGATGTTTAATACGTGCCACGTACAGAAGATCGCAGACAAATTATAATCCTTCCAACGCGTGGGATGGTGCAACCTGGTGAATTTCAAGGCCTGGAGGTTCTTCTCGCGACCGGTGAGCCTTGGTTTCATTTCCGGACGATGCGTCGCGTCGTTTAAGGTCGGAGATAGCTGGCGCTCGAGGGACTCGGCCTACCGTGCCATTCATCATCGCGGCTCCAATTAAACCGCCTCCAGCTCGCTCCTCCAGGTCGTTCATTCGTTAAGGCTGTTTCAAGAGGATATTTCAATGGAATATTCTCTTCGGTATTACCTTCCGCCCCGCCATTCGTTTATAGCGATTGTCCATTTTAGGATTACATTCATGTTCCTCGAATTCAGGGATTCTTTGCGATTTTCAACGAACATAGTTCATGCTCTGCTCGTGTTCTGAATCATTACCTAGACTGTGTATCGCAAAATGACAAACGCGTGTTCCGTTATAATTTTAATCGAGATATCTTTATTTTATTCGGTCGTGAACACGATTTACTCTTTCATTTACTGACTTTGCCTAAGACGGAATAATAACCGGATATAATATCCGTAAGACGAGCCGTGAGACGCATGTATATTCTTATAATTGACTTGTTTAAGACATGCGAGGAAGCACGGACGAGGCTTCCTCTCTTTGCCTCCTGCCCTAGCCTCAAGGAACAGGACGAGTCAATAACTATCGGGCGATGAACTGCTGCCTTTTAATCAATGCCCGTCCAGTCATTCGTTAGCGAAACTGCACGATAAAATCGATAGGCTTGCATCCAGACAAGAGCAAAGAGCGTCATGTGGGCTATCGGGCACAGCTGTCAGCTCCCTGCGAGAGTGTATCGTACGCCTTTAAGCTTCCTTCACAATGCCACGTTGCTCGGTGTATTACTCTGTCGTGGAGCCGACAGTGAAATTCTATCCGCATTGATGAATATTCAACGAACTCGATATAGTCGCGTTAATATCAACCGGTTCGTCGCACATAATTTACAACAGCATGCAAATGGAGTACGGACTGAAACGGTCGCAATTGTTCAAACTGTGCAATTTACGTTATCAACAGTTAGACCGATGCGGGTAGGTTACCTATAAAAAAAAGTAGGTTACTTCGATCATTTGACATTGAGCGGCATTCTCGTCTCAGGATACTATCATAATTAAATCATCTTTCAACGAAACATTCAACAGCGAGGTATAAAGGAATTTCCTCGGTATTCCGAGAGAACCGTGCACAGTCAGGTTAAGGTCGGCACGTAACAGTCTTGTGATTCATTCATGCGAGTTTATCGATCGGCGTCTGCCACTTGCTCGCGTGCTGCTGCCTTTACGGAACTTTTTTTTTCCTCTGTCGTGTGCACGAGCCCTTAGGATGGACCGGTGTATAATGGGCCGATGTTCTCCTTTTCAGTGAGTCAGAAGGCCCAGACGACATCTGCCAAAATATTGTAGTCGCGATCGCGCGCACGCCCCGCTACGACTCGCAGCCTTTAACCAGCTCGAGACAATGACGTCATTCAGCGGAACGGGACGATAAGGAGCCTGAAGGCGACGCAGAGGTGGGACATTAAAATCCTGATTCACGCGTCGGCAACTTTGCGCAAACACCGAAAAATATATACGCAGCTGTCCACTGGCGAACAAGTTTCTTCCGTTATGGAAATGCATGCAAATTGGGTTTACTCTTGATTTGTCGAATGGTTTGCTAAGATTTCGAACTGCAATTTTCTTTTTTATCGAGAGAAACTAGACGAGAAAGTACCGGCTAATCTTTTCGTCAAACACCCAAACGCGTACAGACGTCTCGAGACGAAACAATGACTCACGCGAGCCATAATGCAACAACAATGACAAAGAAGCCTACCTTTAAATTTACTCGCAAACACGACCAAATGCAAGAGTGTTTTCTATTCTCTCGACCCTGTACAGCAATTCTCAGTTTTCTCACGAATTCAAAATGTAGAGTGTCCCAAGCGGTTAGACGGTTCTTCTCTTGCCTGAAAACTGTCCTCCCTTCTTTGTCTCATCGAGCCAGCACGTATACACACCGCTTCCACGAGGTTTTCTTCCTCCCTTGGAATCCCGACTGGAGTTTCTCAGGAAGGATCTGCGCGTTTCTTTATGGTACGTTCGTTTGGTCGCGCTGCAACTGCAGCAGACCAACCGGCAACCCTTGTTAGGAGAAACTGGCATCAAGGACACTGCTGGTCGAGGCTCCTACTTCGTTTCGTTCGAAATTATGTTCTTGCCACAACGATCCGATGAAGATATTCCCGTGCTCCACGCGACCGTTTCTTCTTCTTCTTTCTTTTAAACCCAAGCCGAATTTCTTCCCCCTTGCGAGCCACACGAATTTGAAAATAGACGGACCATTTCCTCCTTTTCTTTTTCTCCAAGTCCTATTCTCTCGTCACGTGCAGGCTAATCATTACTACGCGTATTTGGTTTAATTAAAAATGGTATAATTAAGCTAAAAACTTTGCCAAGTTATGGAAAAATACTTTTCTAAGCCTCTTTATGTTGACGATGCATTTTCCCATAACCCATAATTTAGATTCCCATGATTTTTATAATTTTGTCAATTTATGGAAAAATATTTTTCGACAATTCTCTCTGTGTTAGCGGCGATGCATTTTCATAAATATCCACAATTTACGACTAGACCGGGGTTTTAGTATATTCTTACATCACTTTATCATATTTTAATTAAAAATGTCGATATGGAGGTCGATTTTTGTTGCGAAAAATGACAGAGTGAATTAGGTACGAAGGGGACTTTCTCTTCCTCTATGGTTTTTAAAAAGGGATACGAGTTACGGTTGGCTCGCAAGTCACCAGTTCTAATCGTAAATCGTAGAAACAATCGAGGCACAATCATCATCTTTATTAATGGCTACATTATCGACAGTTTTTTCATCAAAGACGTCAATGCGAATACTTCAACAGGATTTCAAAGCTGCTTCAATCTCGAGCAATAGCAAAACTTACGGAGGGCGTTTCTAACTCGACGGAAATTCCCGTTCGTGGAAATTTTAGCAAAAGATGACTCGCGAATACTCGTTTCGAAAGTTCTTCAATTATCTCTTTGTTACACTCATTTTCTCGTCAAGATTCTCCGATGGTTGTTACTCAGTTATTCGTTGTACATTCTCTCCGTAAAGTGTAACGTTTGTAATCGAACCAAGCGAAACAGAGAAACGCTAGTTCGAGTTACGCGCGTTTCATTAGTGTGCGCGCCGTCTCGTTAAGCGAAAGTGTCGGAGGAATGGTTTTAAATCCGAAGGCGTTCCACAGTTCCGCACCGTCCCGTTCCACCGTCGACGAAATCACGACCGTCACCCGTTCCTGTCCCCAATTGTCGCCAATTGTCGCCAATTGTAGTGCTGACCCTCCTACGACCGCAGCTGCAATTTGCAGCTAGGTCGCGCGCGTCGTCGCGCAAAATCGTTGTGCACGCGCTACGTGTTCTTTCTCTCGGCGCTCGCATGCAATTAACGCGGCAAACGTTCGCGTGCTCACGCGCTGTTGTAACAGACCGCTGTTGTTTGGCGATTTCCTTTCGCCAAACGCGTGCTACGCGAAACAGCGATCGCGAAACAGAAATGCTCGGCGAATGCTTGCAATTTCTACGCGTGTGTGTTTGTTCATTTGAAACGAAAGCGTTGTTCGCTAAGAAACGAGGCTGACGGTTTGCTGGTAATTAACGAAGAAGGATTGCACGTAGATTGCACGTTCGTCGCAGTTAACGCAAATAGCTGCAAATGAGCGGGCAGGCTTCGCGTGCTAACACCGTTGACACGGAACGACGCACCCAAAAGCATGGCTTGCCCTTTCTTAATAAACCATGAAACAATCCTAATTACGGTATTGCTGTGACACCCCGGGAACATGGGGCGTGGCGATGCATTAAATTAGCATTGCGTTGAGAACAAACTTTACACTCGTCGGGCAATTATCGTTCGTTTTTCTCGGACCAATAATAATTATACCATTCGATACCGTGACATTTGTGTTGGATCGTCCGATGCAGTTTACTCTCGGCAAGCACGCTTGAAACAATACCACGGGGCCGTCGATCGCGGGAAGCGTGTTTCAACGCGTATGCATTATGCATCTCCGGAACCGCCCTAGTCGCCTCGACATCGCTGCCCTCGGCGTTCCTTTCCCGCGTGCATTAACTTGTACGCATCGTCACGCAAATTGCAGCGTGTACACCGCACGCCCGGTTGCGAGCCGCTCCGCTCGCTCTGTTTACCATTTTCGAGCGAATCCGCGTGATTAACCTCTTGCGCTGGAACGACGTGCCAGGCACGTCGAGAACTTTTTGTCTTGAATCGCGACATTTTCTCAGTTTTAAGTATATTTGACAAACAAATGATAAGTTTATTGCTTCTTAATAATTTCTATCCAGTGATATCGTACCGACGAGTTCAAAAGAAACAGAAAGCGACGAATTATTGTATACGGTTCGGTCATTCGTTATGGTCCGTGAATCAGTTACCAGCGCAAGGGGTTAAAAAGCGTGAGTCTCGAGAAATTCTGGCTGTAGCGGAGGAAAAAGTGAAAAAAGAACAGAAAGAAGGGTATATAACCCAGCTGGTTGAAACGCAGCGTACGATAGGCAGTGGTGGGAACTCGGGCAGATGTTTGGTCCATAGCACGAGGGCTCCAGTCCCCCATGGGCTACCGTGCCGTAAATTACCCTCAACCGACGATTCTTTCGCGTAGGCAGCAGCAGCCAGTCTCGACGATGTTAACGACAACAATGGCCACCGGTGTCGACGCTTCTGTCTCTTGTGAGCCAGCCTTAAGAGCCACGTGACAGGCGCGAGAAACACGCATTTTCACGCAGCACACGTGCCCGTAGACTCATACAAAGGCTCGCAGAATTCGCTAGAGGCTCCTTCGAGCCGTATCGGGGCTCGCTTCTTCCACCACGTGGTCGAAGACGTGCTCTCGTGCCCGTCTCGTGGAAGAGGAGTCAAGCGAAGATCTTTCCTCGTGAGATCCTCTCCGAGTTTGACTCGTGCCCGGCCGTGAATTATCCGTGCGATTCAAACGTTCGCGCAACTCCAAATATGCGTATCGTACGATCGGTCGTCGACAGTGCGTGCGAGTGAAACGGCACAGAGAGATTTCGTCGACGAGTGTGCAACGCGAAGAGAACGATCTCTTGTGGTGTGGCATCGCTTTTGTGGCAGCTCTGCAATTTCGACACGGCCAAAGAAGGAGGGATATGTCGTTGAAAGCGTGCCGTACGCGAGTGCATTTCGAGAGGACGTTTGACGCTCGAGTGTGACCCGCGAGCATTGGACGCGTCCAGCTGCACAGGATCGATGAAATCAACGTTTAGACGATGCAGTTCGTTGAGATCGACCAGCACGCGCCGTCACACGAGCGCCACTCCCGCTGACTCGTAAGTGTGAACATCCTTTGTCGGCTATCTTTTAATACAGACGAATTTGATCCGTGTCGAGCAGCCGGGACAATTGGCCGGAGGATGTGGATCATTTTTTCATCGGCGCAACCAGAAAAATTGACGACGAGTTCACACGCCGGATGCGTGGATGTCGTTGCGCGTCGTTACACGTCGTAGAAATAATTAGCCTATCGAGTAAATTGCGTGCGATTAGCGATGGTAACTTCTCTCCGGAAGTAGAGGCGAGTCGCTGCATCTCTATCTGACAGACGTCATCGACGCTGTTAATGATCGGAAAAATACCGCAATTCAGAGACGCAACACGTGAGACGCGAGTCAGGTTCGTAGCGTTCTGCTGAACTCTAGACCACTGGAGAGATCCTCTCGGTGTGGTGGAAGTATCGTTGACGCGTTGTCAACTTCCCGCGGACACGTGATACACGTGCAACACGGAATTCCGTTCTGGTGTCGTGTTTCCCTCCGCTGCGAGTCATTTCTCGTTTTTACGTAACCCAAGGACCAGGAAAATGACGAGGATGCAATGGCATCTCGCGCAATCTCACTTTGAGCCGTGATCGAGCATGAAAATGAAAGTGACTGGACACCGGGATTGATTTCGACGATGCAGGAAACAAAGATCGGAGATAAATCGTCGACGAGGTATCCCGGGACTTCTTTTCTCCCCGAGCGTTGCAATCGTGTTTCCCTTTAATTTACTACTGGGACATCGTTTGTCGTTTAGCCGTTTCCCGCTGTTACGAAATGTACTTTCGAAATATAGGAAAAAAAAAAAAAAATACGGGCGTGTTGCTTAAGAAACATCGACGTTTGCTATGTTTGATCTTGACGAGAACAACGATCAAATCTTGAATTATAAACTGAAGGGTAACGCATTCCAATCGTTCCCGCTCGATACCGAATTTGCAAGAGCATAGCTAATTAGTCGATTATACTTCGCTGATCAGAATCTCGATTCCAATTAATGCCGACAAACCTGTCGTATACTTCCTCTCCATCGTCTACGCAACCTGCGCCGCTGTCGTTTCACTTCTTTTTTTTTTTTTTTTTTTTTCCACGATGTCTATCGACGTTTACGGGCGCTTCGATTATGGCGTCGCTTTCTACGAGCGAGTACGCTTGACACGCTTGATGAAGAGCCATCGTCGAGGGCTTCTCTTCTATTAGGGACACGCGTTCTTGTTTCAGGAAATTGGCGTGGAAAGTACAAGTTGCCGACTGTCTAAAACCACTTTCCCACCTCGACGCTAACAATCAAGGTTAAACGAACGAGCGTTTAATAGATTTAACGTCGACCTAGCTTCCTCCTTCACCCTGTGAATTCATCCGAACGAAACTGGTTTTCATCAACGTGTTTGGTTCTGATGTCCTGATTGAGCCTACGCTCGTCGGAAGTTGGAGAACGGTTTGTTACAATTTCCGATCGCCCATGTGATTAGAAATGACTGATTGAAAATTAATGTTTCGAGGTCAACGCGTGGCCTGAATTAGAGATTCAGACATTACTGACAGAAAAAGAAAAAAAAAAAAAAAAAAATGGAAAGATGTAGCATTCGTGTTCGAGCAGCGCTGAAGTTACAGCGATAAAAAGTTAGACGGATGGACATACAGTATCGATTTACGTTTCAAACTACAAGTTCAAATCATTAGGAGAAATTCTGCGTTGCTGCGTCGCTGTAGTTTATGGCTGTTATTATGTAGAACGAGGAACATATGAAATTTTTAACAAGATGATACATATCTAAATAAAATTATTACTTTATAGCTTTATCTCCTTGATTTGATTAGCAGAATTTGTTGACAAGGAAATTTACTCAAGGAAATTTACCCATGAATTTTTTCTTTGCTTCTTTTACGTCTTTCAAGAACAGCTTGCTTCAAATTAATCAATTTAGCTACTATAATCATATATTTGTTGTAGTTAAAGTAATTTAGTATTAATGTCTTATCTATCTTAACGTTTTAGTTTTCATTTTGTTCATCTTCGTTTGTATTCTCTGTAATTTCTCTTGTGCACTATACATTTTTGCACCAAAGGACTTTTATTCCATATAAATAAGTAAAATTTGAAATTAAATTAAAGATTAAACATGGAAAGACCAAATTTTGACTTTAACCGAGTGGATCTTTATAAATACTACTAATTGTTTCCTGTTTTAAAAACTCCCAATTACTTTTGAAAGAAGGTATCAATTAATGATTAAAACATTCTACTATTCAACACTGTTCCTTACAGCGTAAAAGAAATTAAAGAATTTTGATGAAAAAACAGATACCACGTAAGATGTGAAAGTATTTACAAAACTATAATGAAGCGATAAAGAAAGAATTAAAGTTATAAGATTAATGAAGCGATATGGTACAAATGTGTAGTCAAATGAAGATGGGAGAGGAATTTTGGCAATTATTTCTTTTTAACGTGTCTCAGAATTTCACTATAAGGTCTCTAAAGTTTATATTTGCAAGAAATATTATAATTAGGCATGAATTATTTACAGTGACTTCAAACACTATTTGTACATATCCTTACTTTCCAACAAAGCATCTATAAATTTAGAGCTAACTAATTGGCATTACATATGTATAAACGCTGTGATAAATCAATCGCGTGCAAATATTTTTTATAGCTATAAATACTGTGTAAAATAGAAGCAGAAGATGATTAGTTTATTCTATTAATAGACAGATGAGAAAATGTAAAATTCAACTATCTATATTTGAAGTGAACATTACAACGCTCCTATAATTCTGAAAAATGTATTAAAAGTGTATATATTTAGTATTTTTATTGTTTTATCTTACTGATCTTTTGCACATGGTACATTATACGCGTTATATTTCATAAATTCTTAATAAAACTTGTCGACCCCTGATAAAAGTTATCCTTGAATTTAGCCGACTGTTACAGCGTTAAAACAATATCTTATCTTTGAACAATATTTCAAAATGTTTACTGCAATGTTCGACTGAATTTTAAAACAATTGAAAAGATCAACGTTACTGTCCTTGCTAACGGAAACAAATATTTTTATATTTCTACCATGTTTAGTTTTATGTATATTTTTATATTTTCACTACTACTCGCGGCTCTCTTCACTCTTCATCGCTTCACTATGGTTGCACGTTCACAATCAGAAGATAATACCCTGGTCCTTGAATGCCAACTGAAAATTTTCGAGTGGCTCGGTAAAACACGACCAGAAGGTAGACGCAGGGGTAGAGAGAGAGCAAACAGTTGGACATTTTTTATCGTCAAATGTCAAGAGCATCATGAATGAATTTCTCTTGCTTAATGATACTAGACCAGTGAAACGTTCGCGATACACAATACGCGAAATGTTACTTCAGAGTGTTACAATTGAATACGACGATGTAAATTATCAGTGTACATGCTAGGATAATGACCAGCCCCCTAATGAAGTGTAGGTTCTCGTTACTTTTACGATGAGTGCTTGCTTCTCTCACGTCAGGCACTCTCTAACGGTAAACTTATTTCTGATTTGCTGTGCTTTATCGTCTCAAATGCCCGACCAGGCCGCTGTAAGGCTCGATATCAGTCTAGAGGTTCCGTGAATTTCCATTTGGATTTCACTCGGAGTGAAAAGAGTTTTGAGATAGAAAAGAAAGAACTAACTTAAGTAGCAAATGGATAGTCTAAGGTCTAAGGCACATCGTGAAAGTGACGACGCCTCGAGCTGATAGCACGAGCAACGCGATCCTTTTGGCTCGTCAAGGTACCGTAAACTGCCTTCTTTTTTCTTTTTTTCTTTTTCACTCGGCGCGTGAAGAAATCGCTGATGAAAAATGTGACGTCGCAAAAAGAACTGACATGAGTAATAAGCGAACGCCTTAATGACTACCTCATTTGAGCAGCCATCTTCGTTTCCTTTTTAATCTTATTTTAATTTCTTTCGTTTTTTTTAAATTTTTTTTTTTTTATTTCTCCGATGAAAAAATAACAACGGTGCCCGTGTTTTCGGCAGACCGACAACCGAGAATGCGTTCACAATTTTTCAACTGTCAAGATGCGGAACCAAGGCCCAAATTGTTAGCCTACAAGTCTTTCACTGTGATTTTAGCGGATCAATCACCAACGATTAGATTTATTAAGAAATAGGGACTGGTTTCTCGTTAAATGAAATTCTGTTTACCAAGCCGCAGTAACGAGTTCAAATATGTTAAGGCACACCACCTTCTACGAAATGCAAAGTAAAATAAGCTTACGAGCCATCTCAAAGCTGACGTCTGAAAAAGCAAACGTCTGAATGCAGAATTGAAAGCTAGCACGGTCAAACTTGGCAAAAATTTGGTTCCTGATTGAGAAACGAGTCAAAGAAGAAACAAAAAAAAAAAAAAAAAAAAAAACGAGGTAATTGTATTTCTCAAACGATTCGACTATTTCACTTCAAAATCGTGAAATGTAACTGGGTTTTCTGCGAACTTTGTTTTGCGACTCCCTTTTATTTTCCTTTATTTTCTTTCGTCGTCGCGAGTGTCTTCTAAAATCGTGAATACGAATAACTGAGAAAAAGACGCTGGCTGAGCGTCGCATCGCGAAGGAGAGGAACAGCCACGAAGCATGCGAGGAATAACGAATGTTTGAACTGGTGCCAAGAAGTTGCACGAGGTAGCGTCGTCCTCGTGGGGATCTAAAGAAGGGACGGGATTCTGTGATTGTCCGATAGATACTTCTCAACTGCAGAAATTATCCGTATTGAATCCCCTGCAATCTAATGTTTGTTCTCTCAATAAATTTCTTTCTTGTTCCGCGCAATATTATTATTTTATTGATTATCATAATTTTATTTTACTGTTTATTTATATGTAAGTCTTCTGTTGGATCATTTAGAATTTCTAAAATCATTCCTGTGGTTTACGTATTATTACACGTGAATATAGTGTGTAGCATAATACACAATACGTATATATACAATATAACAGAAATATGTAACATATCATCATTCAATATCCATCTAATG